TGTCACGGACTTGCTAATTTCCTTCAAGAACCGTGCGGCCTCCGCCCCCGCGGTTATTACACTAAGTCAGCCTCCCGATTGGCATTGATGTCTTAGAAAGGGACTAAGTAGAACACTTTAAGAAAGGGACAAAGAAGGAACACAAGAGCTTACAAAGAAGACTTTGTATTGAATAAGGAATACTCTTTACAATTTCACTCTCTTGATTCTTCAAATGAATCCTACCAAGCTATTTATAGTGGTAGCCTCCTCAAATGGATGGCTAGGATCTTTTCTATCCAACGGTCTAAATTACACCTCTAGAATTATCTATACAAATATCTACATTAAAATATCTATGGACTAAATTAGGATGATCTAGATTAATCCACCAAGTGAGGGGCTTGTAGTTTCTAGAATGTCCCACCATATTCTAGCAATCTTCATGCACTTGTGGGAGTCTAGAATATTCCGGTTAGCCCTAACTCGTCAACATTTTAAATTTCTCGATCTTCTTGTGCCAAGATCGAGCGGGTCGTGACAACGTGCATAATATTGGCAGTCAATTTAGTAGGATAAGCAATGGTATTTCCAGCATGAGAAAATTAAAATGCTGAAACATCATAGCACTTTTACCTACGAGTAGCTATGGGAAACACCATCTGTACCTCTACATGTAGCATAGATTAGACATTACTTTCCATAGCCATGCTAGATAAATTTTGATGTCAGTTTAATTTCAGTTATCCATGTTAACCTATCTTTATCTCGATGAATTTTAAAGCTAATGAATCTTTTCTTAAACTGCTTTCTTTTCCAAATTTACGTGTTCAGAACTGTATATTATAGGTTGCATCATTGATTTCATCCTTCCTTATCGAAAATCCCCTTATGCAATCTCCTTTTTAGTTATGGTGTATATACATAAATTACATATTTTATAGCATGGTATACCATATGAAATATTTCTGCTTCCTTTTACTCCTTACCAGGTTGGCATTTCGTCTGGAGCAGCTGCTCTCGCTGCCATTAAGGTTGGAAAGAGACCTGAAAATGCAGGAAAGCTTATTACGGTATGTTGATTAATGCTCAGGACGTGATGCTTCATATTGGTCAAGTTGATGTTCTATTCCCATGGAACTTTGAGTGGTTTAAACATATATGTATATGTTGCCATATTTTTTGGCAATCTCAAACTTTCTAAACCATAATATCTGAGATACACAAGGTTGTTACATGAATATATTGATTTTGGCATAAAATGGATTCATTTGAAATACGTGTTTCGCAGACAAACTGAAGGTTTAAGTTACGGAAAATCCAAGCATTTAACTTCTTATTCTCAATTTAGTGGTAGTGGTATATAAAATTGAAATGGCCTTAGTGTAGTTCACTTTCTCTCATTTTAGGTACATTCTACTTATGAGTTTTGGAGCAAACTTCGTTTGTCTTGAATAGAACTACCTAATATTTTGCTTTGTTTAGTATCTGCAGCTGCATAATTATGTTCGGGATGAATAGACTCTATGTAATTGTACTCAGTATATTAAAATTTTAGTTCTTCCGCAATAACCTTTTTTTCTATTTCCATCATGGGATATTTTGTTGCCTGAATGGGGTTGCTCCAGTGTCAATGATTCTAGTATCTCAGATAGTTAAATTCAGCAATTCAACTGTGATTTCAAACTACCATCACTGAGTAAGTGTTGACATATGTTCATCAATACTACGTGAAAGATTATTAGTTTGTCACTTATGTTAGCTAACTTCTCGAAGTGGGTATTAGGGCGCCAGAAATGATGTACAGTTTTTTATTTTATTTTTAGGCTTGCCTTAGCTTTGTTTTCTCATCTTCCTACCATTTTCGTAGAGGGGTAGGAATTGATATTCGACTTTTGTCAGTTATCTTGTTTTATCTTGTTAGAGTTCCCTGTTAGTTCCCTGTTATTTTGGCAAGGGCGACAATTACAGTGCTTCAATAAAATTTTATGTTTCATTGCTTGAACAGACCAGTCTTTTTCTTAACAGGCTAAACTTTAAAGGGAAGCTCGTTTTATTAGACGTTAATGGCCTAGAATGCCAATATCTCAAATGTTTTCCAATTCGACTCATTTTAGATTACGTATTTTTGCAGGTTGTTTTTCCAAGCTTTGGGGAGCGTTACTTATCTACTGTTCTTTTCCAGTCCATTCGGGAAGAATGTGAGAAAATGCAGCCTGAACCGTGAATCTATGCCTTCTGCAGAAGAATACACCACAAATTGATCTTTGATTGAAGTGTGAACAAGGTGTGTTTTTCTCCGTTGTACTTGTGCATGTTGAAACCAATAGAGACTCGAGTTAGTTTCGTGAATTAGACTTGATCAATTTTGATGATAATAAGAGGATCATTTTTATCTCTTGACCTCTATCTGGAGGGAATATGTTGATAATTGATATTTTGAATTTATTTGAAATATTATGAGAAATCTTTGTAAACTCGTCTCAATATTTGAATTTCAATTTTTCAAGTTGTAAGTTTGAAGGTGAGAAGAGTATTCATATTTATTATAGGAACATAAAATTTCAGATTGAATCTAATAAAAATATGAAATTCTGGTACATACCAAATGCAGAGTACATAGACTTTGAAAGAAATAACTCTCGTGGTCCACAACCAAATGGTTGTGTTTTTGGTTATTTAATTTACTTATAAAGTAATTTATCAATATAAATTACTTTTATTTTATACAACACATCCATTAAAGTTTGCAGTTTTCCCATTTCTAGAGCGACACCATACATAATTTGGACCATGCTACTTAAACAGAAAAATTCTACACCTTGATAAAATGTCAAAATGTCGCAGTCATCAATTTGTTTATAGAGGGTTTGTTTGGGAGGGATTTTTTACCTCAAAAAATTGATTTTTTGACCGTTATTTCATTATTTCAGCCGTAATTTTTGACTTACCCTACTTTTCTTCTAACGATCAAAAAATCAATTATCAAAATCCCTCCCAAACAGGGTCAGAATGTCACATGACGTTATGTCATCGATCTGTTTAAAAAATAATACAGTTTTTGCACCAATAAAAAACTGTCAAAAGGATAGGCACCAAAAAGCCACACATAATTTACATCTTTGTAAGTTGTAACAATTCAATAATTTCATTTGGTGCAAATCAAAAACCAGCTCATGAACTCTGAATGACCCTCAAAGATTGCTCAACTCAATCTCCAATGCCACTGCCTCCCCATCCTCCACAGACAAGCATCCTTCGATCCATTTGGATTGCTCCGTCAATTTGGTAACCGTTATTTTTTCTCGACATTTACATTCCCATTCTATTGAGTAAATTGTGATTTTTCACCATTTCATTTATTACAAAATCATTACATGACTTTAACAACTTACAATTATATATCTCAGAAGATCAGGAAATCTTCTAGGATTTCTCATTTAAAATAAATTCATTACAATGGAATTATATCAAATCACGTACAATATTTTATCTTAGCTATTAATAAAAATAAATAATTATAGAGAAAAATATATCTTTATTTACAAACATTGTATATTTTCGAATTTGGAAATTGCAACATTTATCACGGTGGTGATGGTTGGCAGTGGTAAATAGTTGATAAGAGCGACTGAAATCGAGGTGGTGATGGTTGGCAGTCGTGCTATTTTATTGGGAGGTGAAGATGATTATGTTGTGGAGTGGCGTGGGTGAGGAGGATCAAAAATTTTATTTATTATCTCTTTTTATTATTATTTAATAGTCTTAAGTTGAAAACCATCGAGTTACCATTATACTCTTTCATATGATGGTCAAATAGTATACTTTTGATCAACTTCATACTAACGAATTTTTGGATGAAATCGTCCAAATGTCCTTGTACATTTTTTAAAAGTTCAGTACATATCTTCTACGATTTAAATATTTGAGATTACGTTACTCTTCATTTTCTTTGTTTACTCGGACTACAAGCTGTGTTTTTTCGGAATGGTACAAAAGATTTGCACTAATGTCTCCACGAGAACAAATTGACGTGCTCAAGCTAGAAGTTATGTATTAATATAGTATTACAATGATATTAAATATTCTGAATTACATTCTTTTCTTTTTTAAGAGGTGGACTAAATAGAAAATTTATAATAGTTATACAATTAAATAATTTAAAAGTAACAAAAAATCAGAAGAATATTTAAAAACCCATGAACGAATTTCAAACATGTCGCTAAGAAACATATATATGCTAGAAATTATCCCGCAAAAACCTTTGTTTCATAAGTAGAGGAAATTTGTATGTAGTAATAGGTATCCAGTAGACAGAATGAAACATCTTTTGATTCTTTTTTCCCATAGCAGAGAATAGCCCAAACATGACGTGACTTCAAACCTAAAATCAAGAAATGGATATCATTAAAATAGCATAAGATTAATTTAGAGCAGTGTATAATTCATGTCACAAGATGCAATTTTTTTTTTCATATTTCTATAAACAATACAGACCAATTTGATAAATCAAACAAAGGAAAAGAATTAAGAGAGGAAGAAACCGATTATAAAAACCTCCAAAATTAGGTTTTGTTGATGAAATACACTACATTATATACTACTAGTCTATGCCATGTGC